AAATAAATGCCCAAATATACGCGTCTTACAAAGACCATATTTACGTGTGCTAAAACACGCGTGTATGTGGGTCTCATAAATTATGTTGTATATACTAGCATGAAATGTGCCTTTTGAGAGAATGGCTGTTAGCGTATGATAGCAATGAAAATTACTTCAACTTAGAAATCGTCAATATGGCAGCAGAGGTAAAATGCCTTGTTTTGGTCTATCTGCTATGTAATGTTTGTTGCTCCAGCTCTCCAGTGACTTAACTTCTTGAAACAGTTACGCGTCTTTTGAATGACTGGTCAAGATTTTGTCCTCACGCTGATTGCCATGATTTGTTGTGGATTATTCTGTACATCGTTTAGTTGATTCATTGGACAGAGGTGCCCAAGCAAATGCGGAGAGGATATGACCTCTAGAATCGCTAGTGAGACAAATGCAACATTGACTACTTAAATGGAAAATGTTTGCATTAAGAGCAGTTTCATACACCTCAGTCCTCCCATTAGGGCTTTGCCAACTGTATATGAAATATCAATACCTCAAGGGGAGTTTCAGGAAACGGAATGTGATTTTAGTGTAAGTCCTATTGAGTCTTAACCAGTTGATTCATCTGGTTGGGTGTTATCATCAAATGTGTCCCTGACAGCTAGTATTTCCAGTATTATATATCTTTTGAAATCACTGTGTACACCCACATTTGTTGAGGAGTCCAGTGACCCTCTGTGCGTACAGAATGATTATTGCCTTAATTAGGAGGTTTAACTGGGTGTTAATTCTGGAAAGAAATATGTAATGCAAACAGAAGAGATCGATTATGATGGTCGATTCCAGGATGCCATTTTCTTTCATCTGGTAGAACAGGGTGTAGTAGAACTGGCTGACTCCAATGAAGACTTCTCTCCAGAGACACTCAATTCACTGGGTGTGTACAGACAACCCAGCAATTTTGCTTCCCCTATTAAATTCCCTGTGCCATAGCATAGCTCTTCCTACCCGTAAATTTTCATCCCCTTCATCTGAACACACTCTGGAGGACAATCCATAACTTTGCACAGCAGCTAAGAAGAGAGGGAGCCCAGTCGCAGTAGAATTGTTTGTTGCACAACTTAAAGTCTAAAAACGGCAGTGTAGTCCATCAATGTGCCAGAGAGAATTAGGTCCCCTGACACTGTAAACATGCCTTGTGAGGGTATTGAACCACCTCATAGCAGACCCTGCTGGGTCAGTTTGAAAAAAACTTTCCCTTACACACTGACACTGAACATAGATATTTCTACTTCACAAATGAACCAGCTTGATACTGATACCAGAATTGGGAAACCCACGTCAGTCTCAACAAACGATCAAGTTCTCTGCCATGTTACGATCAGCGTGAGGATAAAATCTTGAACAGTCATTCCAAAGACACGTAACTGTTTCTAGAAGTTCAGTCACCAGAGATCTGCAGTAACAAACATTAAATACCAGATAGACCAAGAGAAGGCATTTTACCTCTGCCACCATATTGACGATTTCTAAGTTAAAGCAATTTTCATTGCTATCATACATGAACAGCCACTCTCTTAAAAGACACATTTAGTGCTAGCATATAGAACGTAATTTACGAGACCCACATATACGCGCATTTTAGCACGCATATATATGGGTCCTTGTAGGACGCGTATATTTGGGCATTTATTTCGCATATCCCCGCGCTTGAGTTTACTCAAATATGTGGCCCTTTGAAAAATGCGTATGTACACGATCTAAATGGTCGTATATATGGGCTCAAAGCCCATACGTAATGTATCAAAACAAGTACACGCAGCAGAAAAAGCCATGCATTCCCTGTTGTAATTTTGAAACAAATGGCCAACCATATAGTCCAGAAACATTTTATTTACCTTGGATGTATAATAATATATTTTCTTATCAGAAACTATGCATATTTTTACTTTTACATGTTAATAGCCTATCAATGTAAGTTTTTATAAACTGAATTTATATCCTGGGTGCAAAGAGTTTATATGGCAAATATACGTTATATAATGACAGAGATTGAATCTACAAAGTTTCTAGAAATTTTGAAAGTGATTGCATTCACATTTATAATTGTAATAGGACTGCATGGAGTCCAATTCGGTCTGTAATCATACGAGTGATTAACAAAATTGGATGACCGCAAAGCGGAAGTCCGATTTGTTAATCATGAGTATGATTACAGACACGATGTCCTGTTACCAATTAATCATAACCATTACAATTTCCCAGTTTGAAAAATAGCGTTTAATAGTCATTTTTAAATATCATAATTAAGAATATGGGAATAGTTTGCAAAATGGCTGTTAAGTTTCTTTCAAAACAGTCACTGGAATCTAAACCTCCACAATTTTACAAAGTCAGTCTCTTTAATTGGTTACTATTGTGACTGTAATCAATGTTGTGATTGGTGGATTTAGTGGAGCGGACTTAAATTGATTGCCTCATGTAACTGTCTGATTACAGGTGTCCGATCACAGCCAACTGTCTGATTACACTGTTGGATTACAACTTTGCAGATTAATTAGAGTAAAATACACCAGTTTATGCACCAATCACATTTGAGAAAATTGTAATATTGTTATGATTAGTATTATAATAATATACGCTGGAGATGTAAATTAAGAAGTAGAATTACAGAGATGTATTTATTTCACATATACTTCCTCAGTAAAGAGATTGCAGTGCAAAATTTAAATGAATAAATTTTAATTTAAAGTTTCAAACTTGATGAGCCAGTGTGAATAAACTGATGTTGTTTTTGTACTCCACTCCCACTCCTTAGTCATCATTGAGTAGTATTTTCTAGATCATTACACAATAACTGTCATTAC